CTTGAGCCACAGGCACCGAGCCCAAGTGAATCTTTCTAAGAGTAGAATGTGAACGTTTTAAAATAATAACTAAGAAAATGATATGAAGGCTATGTTAACCAGTTTGATGGAAGTGTTTCGGATTGTGTGTGAAAACCCCACAATGTACGCCAGACGTGCATTAATGTACATAGTTACCATTCAATAAAAAAAAAAAAATCACAAAATACCCGCCCCCCCGCCCCCCCAAAAAAGACTGCATCTAGGGAAACTTGCCCTTGGAGCATATATGCAGCCTAGTTAGCTGATGTTTTCCCAGAACAGAGCTTCCCTCCCAGGGTGCCCCCTGCTCATGCCCTGTGGCATCCAGGTGGTCAAACTCCTAGGCTAGTGCCTTCCAACTCTAGGTAGCCTTTAGAATTGTTTTTGTGTGCTGACAGATATTTTCTGGGTATGTCATGATAAAGAAAAGGCTAGAAAGTCTTCTCCTAGATGTAGTGATAGCATTTGTTCCATAATGAAATAGGAACCCAGTGAACATGTGGAAATCCACCTCTGAGAGTACTTCTGAACCAATAAACCTCAGCCGGACTTCAGGCCAGAGCCTCTCTGTGCCTCCCAAGTCTGATTCTGTTGTACTAGACCAATGCCATGTTGTTGCCACCTGCCCTCGCCCACACCTCTTTATCCCTCTGTTTTCCTCTGCAGTTTCTCCCTATTACCGAACAAAGCTGCGTGGCCTGTATACAACTGCCAAGGCCGATGCAGAGGCAGAGTGCAAGTGAGTACCGTTCTGCCCGCCTCACCATTGCTCCCTCCTCACCTGGGCAGGTGTGGTGGCTCATACCTGTAATCCTAGCATTTGGAGAAGCCGAGGCAGTAGAATCGCTGTAGGTCAGGAGTTTGAGACTGGCCTGGGCAACATAAAATTAGTTGGGAGTGGTAGTGAATGCCTGTGGTCCCAGCCATTTAGGAGGCTGAGGCAGGAAGATCACTTAAGCCCAAGAGTTTGAGGTTCCAGTAAGCTATGATTATGCCCCTGCACTATAGCCCAGGCAACAGAATAAGACCTTGTCTCAAAAAATAAAAAAAAAATAATAAAATAGGGATAATAACTAAGTACATGATTATAAACATAAAATGGAGTAATGCATGTAAAGTGTCTGATGTCAGTAGTTTTTGGTGTCTTTTGACTATAACCCACGTAAGAAATACATTCTGTAATGTGGCCCAGAAATAATAACTTCTATGTGGCCTTATTGTATTCCTGGTAACATTCCAAGTACTTTATATGTTTTCCTCATGGCAGTTCTTTAAAGTAGTTTATATTATTAGCCCCATTTTACAGATGAGGAAACTGAGGCACTGAGAGTTTACATGATCTGTAAACTCCAAAAGTCACACAGCAAGTAAGTGGAGAAGCCCAATTTTAAACACAAAGTCTATATTCTTCAGTACCCTGCCGGAATGGTATACAGTGTCTTTCTTTCTATAGCACACACATTTATTTTGGGTGTGTGCATGTAGATGTCAATATCTCATAGAGTTGGAAAAAGAGTTCCAGCAGTTTTGTGGTGGTGTTTTAAATGCTGGTTGTTACCCAAGAAATTAATTTCATGACTCACGATGAACCGCAGCCTGCAGTTTAAATACCATAGTGGCCTTGCATGTACAGATGATGGCTAACTTTCAGGGACTGATGTGGCTGATGTGACTCATTAACCAGAGTCAACACCCTGAGCATTACTGATGGCTCCAGGGCTCTTCTCTCCTCCCATCTGGCTCTCACAGCTCTGTCTTATGTTCATGGTCCTATAACTTCTTTGCCTGCTATCAGCTGTTCTATAGACCTTTGCTGGTGCTTATCCCAATTCTGGCACTGGGCCATTTCCATATAGAGACATAAGGATAGGGAGGATCCTCCTTTAAGGGTACAGGCCAGAGAGGAAAGACACCCTAAAGAAAATAGTTGCAGGACAATAGAGTTGTTGCTTAGCAGAGGTGAAGGATCTGGCATGTCCTGAGGGGTGGGGAACTAGAGTGGGGCTTTGATCTGGGGACCATTTGGCAGATGAGGTGGAAGCCTGGGCAGTAGGGACAGAGGTGGAGAGGCCATGGAAGAGGGACTGCAGATCATGTGCATTTGGGAAGGGAGGACTAGCTAGCCCTGTGTAGCTGGGGACAAGAAGAGCAGATATGAAGGGCTCTAGGTAGGGCTCATGGACTTTTATCCTGGAGGCTGTTGGGGGCCAATGAAAGTTCAAAGCAGGAAGGAGACCCCTAGCTGCTGTGTGGAAGATAGGCCAGATGGGATGCAGGTGAGCAAGGAGGCCAGACAAGAGGGTGAGAGGTTGAGCTGAGACAGTGGCAGTGGGGGTAGATAAGCAAGGATAGGTTTAAGAACAGTGTCTGAGATCAAACTGGGGGCCAGCTGGGAGAGGAGGAGTTGAAGGGTCCAAAGCAGGTGTCCTCAAACTATGGCCCGCGGGCCACATGCAGCCCACCTGGTGTTTTTGCCACCGTTGCCTGTCCTGCTTAGCAGCTGACTGATCCCGGGGCCCGTAGTCTGGCCCTCCAAGTATGAGGGACAGTGAACTGGCCCCCTGGTCCAAGGTTTCTAGCTGGGGCTTCAGGGTTCTGGTAGGGCTACTTGTGCCAGGCTGGGAAGCAGACCAGAAGAGTAGGCTGACCTAGCTTCCTCCTCCTGGCTCTGTAGGCCAGCCTTCTCCACCCATCTCCTCCCTGATCTACATATTTAGCCGGTGGCCATGGTCAGGCCCTCTCTCACTTTCCTGGGCTGGAGTTTGGTTTGCATAAGTTGGCGTGACTTGTTCATCTGAGAGTAAAAAGCAAACTGTCCCTTCCCAGCCTGACTTCTGGCAGGGCAAAGTGAGTCTGAACCCAGTTTGGTGTGTGCTGTTTCTGGTGTTGAGTTCCCCTGAGTGAAACACGAGCTCAGTTTCATAAATTCAGGGCCCATACTTGCAATACTGCTGCCATTTCCCTTTTTCAGACTCTGAGAATCTGAAACCTTCATACATTCTCTTGATAAATACTGAATAAGGCCTCCTTAGCTCTATACCATTCTGGGTGGCACTGTCTCTGAGAGTTACAGCCAGGCTGGCTGGTGCCTATTGGAGGCAGGGACTCAGACTCAGCTGGGAGGTCATACTAGATGACCTGAAGCTTTTATGACTCTGAGATGGAAGTTTCCATTCCAGAAAACTGCTTTTTATTTGTGTTTATTTATTTTAATAGAGACAGAGTCTCACTGGCACTCAGCCTGGATTATAGTGGCTGGATCATTGCTCACTAAAACCTCGAACTCCTGGTCTCCCACTTCACCCTCCTGAGTAGCTTAAACTATAGGCTCACACCATCATGCCTGGGTAATTTTTAAATTTTTTGTAAAGATGTGGTCTTGATTTGTTTCCCAGGTAGGTTTCAAGTTCTTGACTTTACGCACTCTTCCTTCAGTGTCCCATAGTGCTAGGATTGCAGGCATGAGCCACCACATCTAGCCACTGCTGCTGCTTGAACATCTTTTTTTTTTTTTTTGAGACAGAGCCTCAAGCTGTCCCCCTGGGTAGAGTGCTGTGGCATTACAGCTCACAGCAACCTCCAACTCCTGGGCTC